GAGTCTTTCTTTTTAATGATGTGTAGTGGTGAAGATATTAGGCTAGGAATTGGGAGACTATAAGTTCTACCTCTCCTTTAGATATGGAGATGATTGAGTGTCTGTGGGCCAGTCCAACTCACTTCACAGGGCTGTTGTTGTGGGGGGAACAGGAGGGAATATTATGTATGTTCCCTTTACTTATACAAAATAAGGGCTAGATGGTAATCTAATCAATAAGCAATTTTTGGAAGATTAAAAAGTAGAACAGGGCAGGATATCCAGTAAATTACAAGGGAGAGTTGTTGATGGATGCCCTGGTGCTTTGGGGTTCAATGTGGGGACTTCAGCAGTAACAAATTGAACCTGAAATGTGTGCGTGTGTGTATTCTCTCTCTCTCTCTCTCCATTCAAATGAGTAATACATGAAGAAAAGGCAGACTTATGACTACAACTGAGACCAAGAGACCATTGTTAAGTGAGTTTTGCCCCATTATATGACATTTCTTGCCACAGATATTAAGAGAATCACTGCAGTTGCTAAGTTTGTTATTTTTATTTATTTGTTTATTTGATTTGATTTGTCAATCGCTTACAAGATAATAAGTATAAACATGAGTAAGAATACAGGAAATAGGTATGAATAAATGGGAACAATAGGACAGGGATGTTCGGCACGATGGTGCACTTATGCACGCCCTTACAGACCTCCTAGGAATGGGGTGAGGTCAATAGTGGATAGTTTGAGATTAAAGGGAGTGGGGGTTTGAGGATGTAACAACAGAGTCAGGTAGTGCATTCCGGGCATTGACCACTCTGTTGTTGAAGTTGTACTTTCTGCAATCAAATTTGGAGCGGTTTACATTGAGTTTGTATGTGTTGTGTGCTCTTGTATTGTTGTGATTGAAGCTGAAGTAGTAATTGACTGGTAGGACATTGTAGCCGATAATTTTGTGTGCTACACTTAAGTCCAACAATAGGCGGCGTAGATCTAGGTTGTCCAAGCCCAAAATCTCAAGCCTGGTGATATAGGATATTCTGTTGTGAGCAGGAGCGTAGTACTCTTCTCGTGAAATACTTCTGGACTTGCTCAATTGTATTAATGCCCAATATACAGTGCGGATTCCAGACTGATGAGCTACATCATGAGTTACATCATGATTAAGTGAGTCTGGCTTCCCCATTGACTTTGATTATCAGAAGGTTGTGAAAAGTGATCACATGACCCCGGGACACTGCAACCATCATAAATATGAGCCAGTTGCCAAACATCTGAATTTTGAACATGTAACCCCACAGATGATGTTGCAATGGTCAAAAGTGTGAAAAACAATCATACTTCACTTTTTTTCAATGCCATTGTAGCTTGGAATGGTCACTAAACAAACTGGTGTAAGTCAAAAACTACATGGATGTCCAGATATAATATAATCAGAAACTTCTTAGTACCTGGGTAGGAATCAGGCCAAAGTTATGGGCGACCTCAGTGGAAAAATGTAATATGGTTCCTGAATTTGCTACTAACATATTACCACCTCCCACCCGAAAATACAATCTACCCCAAAAGAAAGTCCTAGCTTGATTTTTACATGTGCACCCAATATAAGCCCTACCCCCAAAATAAGCCCTAATTAAGACCGCACCCTCGCATACCCCAACACCTGCCTTGCTGGCCCATTTCTTTTTCAGCTTTCCTGAAGGCCTTTGTAGCTGATAATAGCTGGATTGACCCAGAGCTCTGTTATTGACTGCAGAGGCCTTCAGGAAAGCCTTGCTGGCCGCAGAAGAAGAAGTTCCTGAAGGCCTCTGACAGCGAAAAGGAGGCCGGGGGCAATGCGCACAAGTGAGGTTAGTCAGTGGATGACATCCCCTGAAAATAAGACCTGGTGCCTTTTTTGGTGTGTGTGTGTGTGTGTGTATAAGACAGGATCTTATTTTCGGGGAAACACACTATTGTTATTCTGCCAGGAGATATGCGTTTATTTTAATTCCATTTATTTCTCAATAAGACCTCTGTGCAATGTTTAACCTCTGTTGGTTATGCCAATCCAAGGAATAGAGGAACATAGCTATTCTCTATTCCTCTGGGTCAGTTTTCAGTCTAAGATAAATTCAATGAAGTCATTGGGGCACTGAGACACATAAAGTTGGACATATAGCCCCCAAATGATTAAAGTCTTATGAATCATGTGGAGTTATTAGCCATAAACTATCAATCAGATCAAACATTACACATTTCACTTAGTATTTGACAAAGTGTTTTTTTAAAAAAAATCTCATTTCTTTTCTTCATTCTCTTTTGAGAGTAAGCATTAAAATGGCAGACTTACTACGGGTAGTCCTTGGCTTACAACCATTCATTAAGTGATTGTTCAAAGTTAAATTGGCACTGAAAAAAGTGATACGACCATTTTTCAAACAATCATGTGGCATCCCTATGGTCATGTGATCAAAATTTGAATGCTTGGCAACTGAACTAAATTTATGAGAGTTGGGAGTGCCCTGGGATCATGGGATAACCTTTTGTGATCTCTGACAAGCGAAGTCAGTGAGAAAGCCAGATTCACTTAAACAATGTGTTACTAGCTTAACTGCAGTTAACAATCATGGCAAGAAAGGTCGTAAAATGGGGCAAAACTCAACAACTGTCTTGCTTAGCAACAGACATTTTGGGACCAATTATGGTCATATGTTGAGGACTTCCTGTAGTTAGAATTTAGAACATCGATATCATTGCTTTAAGAACAATAGTTCTTTCTGATATGCAATATCATGTTTATTCCAATCCCCCTGTGATGACCCAGGGCGTGGCACAAAGGCAACACAGTCAGATAATCAATAGGGGTCCCTTTATTAGCTCCAACTTTGCCCCCAATTTCCTGGTTACCTTCTGGGCTGGAGAAAAACTCTCCCAGGAACAGCCTTTGGCTGCAGAGATTCAAGTCCAAACCATTGTCAACAGAAACTTTAACTATAAGTCCAATCAAGGCAACATGAGGTAATTAGTCCTACAGGGCAAGAGAAGGAATTCCAGACGTAAAGGAATGGCAATAATTCAACCCAGTTGGGAGGATGCTAGGAACGCAGATAACCAAAGTCAACTCAAGATAATCTCACCTTTGTTCCCAGCAGACACCGCACTCAGCTTGCATCTCTTTTAAACTCTCATTCCCTGGTGTGGCTAATGAAGGAAATCAGGGCCCTTTCCTCCCCCATAAGCCACGCAATCTACGTTGCTCTCTTCTCTGTTCCTCCCTGCTAGGATGAAGAGGGGATGGGCCTGGGTCTTCCTCTGAACTCCCTCTCCCTTGTTCTACCTCTTCCCTGTGCTGCCCAGCTGGACTTTTCCCTTCCCCAGTTTCCTCCATAGCCAATGGAGCCACACTCCCAGTCAGCTGTTCTTCTTCCTCCTCGGATTCAGAATCTGACAGGGGCATGACACCCCCTTTGTCTGCAATCAGCATCTACAGTTATTAGGTTTTGTGGATTTGTATGTATGTATGTATGTATGTATGTGTATATGTATGTATGTGTATATGTATATGTATATGTGTATATGTGTGTGTGTGTGTGTGTGTGTATAAGCCTGATGATGGCAGATGAGATTCTGCCGAAAACTTGCTACAAGTTTAAAAGCACAACTATAATGATGTGGGAAAATACCCGAACAAAGCTGAATATCATACATGTAAGTACCTGCGAAAACTGAAAACAATATATATATTGTTTAAAGCACCAGATGAAACTGGAAGGATAAAACAAACAGGAAAGATTTTAACTGTTTCAGTATAAAATTGATTGGAGGAAAAAAGGCAAGGATTTATGCCTTTAGGCCTGAGTGAAACTCATCCATGGCTCCCAGAATCATTCCAAAAATTGCTGTCAAACTCTAAATAAATTAGATTTTAATCAAATGTAATTTTACTTTGTACCCACTAATGTCTTCACCCTGGTTCTAACCACTCTAGAATGCTGCCCCCCGCCAGCTCACCATTCAAAGACCAAATGCAGCCCTCAGCTGGAAAAGGTCCAAGATAAATAGGAATAAATTAATTAGAAATATGAAATAAATGCAGTGATATTTACACTGCGAGAAGTGTGGAAATCAACTACAATAAAAGAGATCTGGGCTGGTCCATTAACAGCACTTGTTATAAGAAAGCTGTTTGTAGTGTGCACAGTTAAAAATACGTTTCACTGAATTTAACAAATTATTTCTAGGCAAATACATTTGGGATTGACCTATAGTATCATGAAACTTTACACAACACCAAATCTGCCACCCATATAGCCACAAAGAATTACAGTCGAATTCCCACAAAGTCAAGAAAAAGGTAGTTTTACATATTTAAGCTTCATTTGGCATTAACCCCACAACATGGCAAAGCTTATATTTGAATTGGCTTTGTTCTTTTAATAACTAACTCTTCATTTGGGAATACCCAGCCAACATTCTGTTAACAGCAGAAAGTAACGTGCAGCAATTATTATTATTTTCTCTGCATTCCTGTTTGTTTCCAAGTGACTTATCTGCTGCTCTAAAGACCTTTAGAAGTTTAGAACGAGGGGCACTTTTAAAAACTGGGATGATCAGCTGGAATCACTGAACCAAATTCATCTGGATCTGGACAAACATTCCACACTTTAATCAAGTTTGCTCACCAGGAAAATTAGATCGCTCTCAAAAGTTGCAACAAGGGAATTCCCTACAAGGCACAGAGATAAGTGTAATATGTCAAAACCAAGGAGAACTTTCTCAAACCAGTTGCTTTCTCAAGAAGCTGACCGTGATTTATGGGAGTTGAAGTCCAGTAACTTTGGAGGCTATCAGGCTGGGAAGACTGCCAAAATTATATGACTCATTATAGAAGTTTAAAGGCAAAGAGTAAACAATAGTTGAAAACAGCATTCCAAGAGACCTACCTCTTTGTTTCTAAAAGCAACCAAGAAATACATGGCAGAAAAGCAGAAATCTGTGAAAAGCATTTGAATTTTTGGAATGTTGCAATTTATTTGTCAGTTTTACTGATATAAAAGAAGACTTTTGAGTGAACAATTATCTCCAAAATTTGCCCCTTGCTCCATTTCACTTCATCAGCAATAGTTGTCCAAACATGCAAAGGTGCTCTGTGAGAATGTAATGGTGCCTCCTGGTTTAATCAATTCAGTTAAAGAGATAATTAGAGATCAGACAGCCATGTTGTTTGCAAACTTTAGCTTGCTTCATTACCTTGAAGTTCTCACCTCATAGATTCTACAGGCGTGTTATGTGTTGCTCAAAAGAATCTGAGGATCTCCATAAATCAACAATGGCTATCAGTCTGGATAAGGTCATACAACCATTTATAAAGCTCTAAAGTTCCATCCATCCAGGGTCGAGGGATATATGTTTGAGATGGAGTTGATTGGGCCAATACCAAGAGCAGTTGTCGTCAAAATCAACCCAATGGTGCAGCATACAACTGGGAAGCTACGAAGAATTCCATAAAAATATCCAAGGGTTTGCAGGTCTCACCTGCCCCAGTAAAAGTCAGTGTCCACAACTCTACCCTCAGAAAACCATTGGGTAAAAATGTGATTCATGGCATATTAACATGACAGAACACTGATAAGTGAGGTCAGGTCTTCCAAAAAATGCACCTCAATGCGATAACTCTCCAGACTTATGGAGAAATGATCTGTGGGTAGATGAGCAAAAGATGGGTGTTTTCAGTCTACAATGGCCATGAATCTCTGGAGGAAACCAAATATTGTATTCCATAAGAACTTTATACCAATTGTCAAGCATGGTGGTGGCTGTGTTGTGCTTTGTTTTGTGGCTTCAAGACTTGAAAGACTTGCCATAAGTGAAGAAAGCATGATTTCCTCTCTACGAGAGAATATCAGTCCATTTATCATCAGGTGAAACTGTATCACTTGTGGATCATCCAGCAAGACAATGGTCCCGAGCATTTGAGAATCTAGGAGAAAAATCACAAAGAACAAATTCAGAGCTTTGGAAAGAACAAGACAAAGCCAGACCCAACCTCACAGAAATGTGACAAGAATGAAAATAAGTCATTTATATTAGAAATCCCTCAAATGTTTGCTATGGTGGAATAGACCCATAATTCTTATGTAGCAATGTGACAGATTGCCACAAACATTGTGTAGCAATCATGGCTGTAAAAAGGAGGGAGTAGCACAATACTTGACCTTAAGTCAAGTATTAGTTTTTCATGGTGGCATATTAATGCTGGGATGACAGTGGATCAGTAGACTCCACAGGAACTTTTGATAATTTTCAGAAGTAAAGGACTGCAAAATTTCATCAAATTAATCGTGGCTGTGTTTTTTAAGGTTGAAGGTTCATCCTTCCACATTAGTGGTAAGTTTTTCCACTAAATACTAAAAATAGCTCAGCAAGTAGCAGGATCTAATTGACCTTATCTCAGCTGACCATGGGGTGCTTAGATCTGACCTTCCGGGCTACCCTGGAAACAGTAAAGGACTGGCCCTCAGTGGCTCTGCCAGCAAAAATGGAGCATGTGCAGCCTCCATAAGTTCTGTTTTTTTCTGGCAGAGGGTTGTAGAAGGCTATCACAGCCAAAAACAGAGCCCCGATGAGTGACGTGCAGCTAGCCATGCCCACTCTGGCCACTCCATCCCTCCCGAAGTCAAACACAACCCTGATGCGGCCCTCAATGAAATCAAGTTTGACACCCCAACCTAATCCATTCCAACTTAATATCGAGAAAGCTGCCCAGATACACAAGCCCATGAAGTCATCTGAAGCTGAGCTCCAATTGACAGTGTAAAAAGTTACCGAAAGCCACACTGAAAAGGAAATCACAGCTCCATAGAGATTTTTTTTATATGATTTGTGAACCCAGTCAATTACGGTTGGCTTAATTAACCACAGTTGAAAGAAACCACGGCTTCAGCACGACACGGAGAGGAACAAGTTAACCTCATTCCACTGACTTCAAACTAAATTCCACCCACTGTAAATTCCATGACATTAAAAAAACAACAACCCCACTTTAAATTAAAAGACAACGAAGAGCAATACCTACCGATAGACCCATGCTGCTAAGCTATATGCAGTTAATTAATGAGTGCGCTGAATCAATCCACTTTTCCTTGCTTGGAGCTTGATTAGCTTTCCATGTGGCTGCTTCCTGGTTAAGAAGGGTTAAGGGGGGGGGAGAATCCCCAACTCACTCCCATCCTTCACTTATACACACACACAACACACACACACACACCGAACTCCCAAGAGGTAAAGGTAAAACAAGATGATGGTAAACATCCAAAGGTCATCTAGAGGCTGTTGCCTTGAAGATTTTTTTGCACAGCCTAAGGGAGGGGGAAAAAGGCACACCTGTTTTATGCCTAGATGGTGGGAAAATGCAATCAGAAGAGCTACTCCTTTCTCCTCCTGCCCCCCAAAAGGCAGATGGAGACTCTTTTTAATCTGCAGGAGTCCAACCCTAATCACTGCTATGGCTGAATATTGCTTTTTTTTTCTTCTTCTTCTGACTGATCAGTGCAAATCAGAATGGCTTCTAAACTACTGTGCATTTTTCCTTGAGCTCCAAGGCGTCAAACGTAATCAAAATCACCTGCGGCACAATTGTACACAATCTATAGGGTTTACTTCCCCTAGAAACACATATTTAGGCTAACAACTCTGGGGTGTGCATATGTCTGACGACAGTTTAATTTCTTGTTCAAAGGAGGGGGCGGAAGGGGGGGCCTTTCAAGTGACCTTGACTTTGAGCACCAAGGACACAAGCAGATTGTAACATTTGGTGATAATCTGGGATTCAGGGCAATTTTCCTGCACCCGATGCAAACCTACAAAGCAACTAATCTCCCTGGCAAGCAAAATAAAAGGTGCAAAAAATAATAAAAATAGGGTGTTCCTCACTCACATTGTTTGTCTCTGAGGTCCTTCAAAGCTGGTGCATTAAAAGAGATTCCCTCAACATTGTATCATTGAGATATGCTGGACTATAATTTTCACCATAGTCCTCTAATCGTGGGAAAGGAGGCACCAGGCTTGAAAACTGCCCTCCACCCCAGGCGAAAAGGTAGAAAAGATAACCTTTCACAAACACACCTAAGATCATCTACCCCAGTCCTACGCCCTTGGTCCAGATCGACTGGATTCTATCTTCCCATTCTATTCAGCCAGCTAGCGCAGGTTGGGAAGGATGGGACTCCGAGTCTAGGAGACCCAGAAGACCCAAAAGGCTGAAGGTCACCCAGATCACACCTCTCTCTCTCTCTTAAGGTGGCTTTGAGGTCCTCTCCTTCAGAAGTTGCAGCTTCTCCCAAACCTTGCTGGCTTGAGCGGAAAGAAAAAAGGAAGAAGAGAGACAGACAGAGAGAGAGAGAGAGAGAGAGAGCGAGAGAGACAGAGACAGAGACAGAGACAGACAGAGAGAGAGAGAGGGAGAGAGAGAGGGAGAGAGACAGACACACACACACACACACACAGAGGCAGAGATATAGATAGATAGATAGATAGATAGAGAGAGAGAGAGAGGGAGGGAGAGGGAGGGATGGAGAGGGAGATATAGATAGATAGATAGATAGATAGATAGATAGATAGATAGATAGATAGATAGATAGATAGATAGATAGATAGACAGACAGACAGAGGGAGAAGGAGAGGGAGAGGGAGGGAGGGAGAGGGATAGATAGATAGATAGATAGATAGATAGATAGATAGATAGATAGATAGATAGATAGATAGAGAGCGAGAGAGAGAGGGGGGGCAGAGGGAGAGGGAGAGGGAGGGAGGCGGAAGAAAAAGAAGAGCCACGAACCTGTTCCACCCTTCGCTGACTCAGAGCTCAGCAAGGTGAGGCCTTTTTTTAATTCCCCCGTATCAATCCCTTCTCGCAAAGCCCGATCTTGCGCCGGCTGCTTCGCCTCCTCGCTCCCGCCCCAGCCAGCCGAGAGAGCCGCGCTGCAATGCGCTCGCGAAGAGGTGCCACGGCACCACCGACGCCACCGCCACCGACGCGCAGCCCATACAGACGCGCACTCACACCCTCCCGGACGCCTGACTCGCAAGCGCCTCCCCCTTAGTCCCTCCCCGGCTTCTTCTTCTTCTCCTCTTCCCGTCTCCTCGCCACAAACAGCAGCGCCGGCTGCCAAAGCCGCCTGTCGCTGGGCTGCGTCTACTTCTCCTTCGCCGGCTCTCTTCCTCCGGAGACGGGCGGCAGCATGAGTGCCGGGAAGACGCTGCCTTTTCCCGCCTCGGCTCAGCCTCGGCTCGCCTCCGCTGGGCGCTCGGTGGATTAAACTGCACCCGGGCGGTTGCTGCTACTACTACTATTCCTCCTCCTCCTCCTCCTGCTGCTGCTGCTGCTGCTGCTGCCAACTCTAGACCAAGGGTGGGTTCTCGTCTCTTTCTCTCTTTCAGATGAGGACATTCAAAGGACCAAACCAACAAGCTTCGAGGAAGGAGTTTGGGGAGACCGGGTGGGGGGCGGGGAGAGGGGACCAGGGTGACTCCTGGCGGCCACCCCAACCCATCATCCGCAGCTCCTGCCAGAACCCCAAGCTCTCACTTGGAGGAGCTCCCGAGGCAACTCGAGGGTGGCTTCAGCCAAGGGAGAGAGGGGTGGCTCAGCCAACCTTTGGGCACCCCCTCCCTGTCCTCTGTCAACTCGCATTCTCGGGGGGGAGGGGGGGGCGTTCAGACGTGCGGGGCCGGGAAGGAGACCCTGAGGTTGTACGGACGCGTGTCTGGCAGGGAAGAGAGCGAAAGTGAGCCGGAGCGCTGCGCAGTTGAGGGAGACTTCCTATTTTGGGAGAAGGGGGAGAAGGTGTGTGTGGGGGTGTGTGTTTTCAAGCGGGGGTGGGGGTGGGGGGAAGGCCCCGGGTTCAAAATGCAGGCGGTGGCCCGGGTGGGCGGATCGCGAAGGAGAAAAAGAAAAAAGAAAAAAGAAAAAGAAGAAGAAGAAGAAGAAGAAGAAGAAGAAGAAGAAGAAGAAGAAGAAGAAGAAGAAGAAGAAGAAGAAGAAGAAGAAGAGTGGGGGAGAGAAAGGGAGAGAGAGAGAGAGAGAAAGAGAAAGAGAGAGAGAGAAAGGTGCCCGGCTAGAGGAGGGGACGGCTGGACCGGGAAGTGGTGCAAAGGCTGGCTGGCTTTCGCAGGCGGGTTTCAGTCCTGCAGGTAGATCCGGGGTTGGCCAAGGCGGGGAAGCGGCAACTGATTGGGAGAAAAGAGGCAGAGGGAAGCAGGAGCCGGTACGCGGCTTGCGTTAAAGAAGCAGCGGGGTTCGTGGGGGAAAAAAAAGAGCCGCAGTGCCTCGGTTTTGTGCGCCAAGCGGCTTTCCCCCCAGTTTTTAATCCCCAGGGTTTGGGCTCTGGAGCAAGTCGGCTGGATTAGAGGGCGGGGACGGATCGCTTTGTGGCGGGGCTGTTTTGGAATATGGGGGGGTGGAGTGTACGTGTGCACGCGGGCATGGGTGTGTGTGTGTGTCTCGAGCCGTGTCGGGTTTGGACTTTTCTGCCTTTTTTCTTTTTGCAAGAAGCGAAGCTCCCCTTGCTGAACAGGGTCTCTCTCTCTCTCCCCCCTCCCTCCCTCCCTCTCCCCCTTCCTTTCCGCTTCCCTCCCTGCCCAGATTCTGCAGCGCTTGGCAGCTGGGAGAGGCTGGAAGCCATGTGGATACGCCGGCCGGTGCCACATGGCATCTCCTGACCCGACTCGCTGGGACTTAACTTCCCCTGCCATTCGCGCTGTCCAGAATCCGTGCTTTAGACCCAGTTGTTAAAGATTGCCCTCTGGTGCAATAGGGGTGGTTTGGGGGGTGGTTGGGTCCTTGCTGTAACCATTGGGGTGGGGTGGCAGTGATTGGAGGAGCTGGAAGGGAGAAGGAGAGAGAGCTGGGCAACATTCCTTGTGGTTGTGTGCAAGAGGTGGAACAGGAGACAAAGGTCAACTAAGAGTTGTATTCTCAAGGGGTAGTAGGGGTCCAAATGAAAAAAAAAGGACCAGCCAACTCAAGAAACACATAGGCTTGTACCCACTGACTTACAACTGCTTTGCACAGGCAATTCTCCCAGCGGTGGAAACCCTGAGCTTTGATCCTGTGCCATGTTGCAAAGAGCATCTATCCAAAGAACGCCCCTTAGGGATAGATGCCTTAAATCCATTCATTCCTTCTACAATGAAGTGGACTCAGGCAGCTGGATTGGTTTGAAGAAGGGAATTCCTAGAAAGTGTTTGAATGGGGAGGTAGTGTCGGTAGATGATGACGCCTGCGTTGCTGGGTGGCTCATTTTGGCACACTGACTGATGATGCTTTTCCCTACGCCCTTTGTGTGTGTGTGTGTGTGTGTGTGTGTGTGTGTGTGTCATTGAAGAAAGTGAACGTGTTAGTAAGATAGGATAAGGGTACATGGAATTGGCAAGATCAGAGCAGATGAGGATGAGAAGGGCATAGGAAGATCTAATGGCTTCTTGCAGTGTGCTGTTTTTATCGCAATGTCCCTCTTTGACTATTTTTTTTCCGGTCCCTTTCCCTCCCCGGCAACACAAGGAGAGACATCTTGCCAAATAGTTAAAAGGATCATGTTCAATGCCTCTAATGGGAGTGAAATTCCAGGGAACATTTCCTTTTTCCAATGGAACAGATTTCACTGTGATGGAACCTCAGAGACAGTGAAGCCTGGAAATTTGAGAGGACTAATTTATCAAATTCTCTGCCACTGCATTAACTTTCCTGCTCAGTATGCACAAACTGTTGCCACCTCTGGCCCTTGAGTGAAACAGGCCATGTGCCTTCGGGTTTCGGGAGGTTAGAAAGCTTCATGAATGAATGAATGAATTCTTTATTGGCCAAGTGTGATTAGACACACAAGGAATTTGTCTTGGTGCATATGTTCTCAGTGTACATAAAAATAAAAGATATATTCATCAAGAATCATAAGGTACAACACTTAATATAGTCATAGGGTACAGATAAGCAATCAAACCATACTAGGAAACAGTCAGTATAAATCATAAGGATACAAGCAACAAAGTTACAGTCATACAGTCACAAGTGGGAGGGGATGGGTGATAGGAGTGATGAGAAGATGAATAGTAATGGTAATGCAGACTTTGTCAATAATTGGACAGTGTTGTGGGTATTATTAGTCTAGCAGAGTGATGGTGTTCAGGAAAAACTGTTCTTGTGTCTAGTTGTTCCGGTGTGCAGTGTTCTATAGTGTCATTTTGAGGGAAGGAATTGAAACAGTTTATGTTCGGGATGTGAGGGGTCTGTAAATACAGTATTTTCATAATCTTTTTGACTGGTGCAGTATACAGGTCCTCAATGGAAGGCAGGTTGGTAGCAATTGTTTTTTTTCTGCAGTCCTTATTATCCTCTTTTGTCTGTCTTGTTGGGTTTCTGTGTCTGTCTTGTTGGGTTTCATGGAGTAAATGGAAAGAAAGGAACACACACACACACAAAAAGAACATGCTTTGCATATTAGAAATGCTCAGGTTTCATTTCTGGCCTTGCCCATGATCAGGGATCAAATGAATGAAACCTTCTCAGGGATTGCCAGAGATGGTGAGGGAGACATTAGTTAGGGGGCTGTTTTCTGTATTCACAGTGGGGTAAAGACAGCAAGATGGTAATAGCTCTGCCAACTCTGTGGGAGATGAATAGGAAAGAGTGCCTCTAGGAAATCAGGCAGGTTTCAAGGTGCCCAGTGCAATGTGCACTGCAAGGGCGAGGAACAGGTGAAGGATTTTGTCCTTACTAATGACTTTCATTCACCAAATGTTCACCCACTGGAGATTCTGCTGCATTTACTAAGGCTTCTTCCCCTTTCAGCCTTACAGCATGTAATAATCACACATATTTTTGCTGACTTTTTTTTTTTTTTTGGTCCTTTTCACAGCTGATGTGAGTACAAAACAATTAGAGCATCCCTCTTTCCTTGAGAGGGAATTCAAAAGTAGGCTTGTTTGAACCTCTATTTTCTTTTGGGTTCAGGCTGTGCTTGAAGTGTTAAAATCCTCAAGAGAGATGGGATGAAGAAAGGAAGAGTGATTGCGGCTGGGAAAGGAGAAGACAGGGTGTAGGGAAGATTTTACTAGCACTTTACATCTTGCTTAAGTTTAAAAAGGGGATAAAAAGAAAGCACGCTCTAAAAACCAGCTCTGGGCATCTATGAAAGTGAATTATTGATGACCTGGGAAAGCTTAGCTAGCAGATAACAGCATGCTAACTTTTCTGGAGGCCTTGTATATTGCAGTCCCTCACAATATATGAAGTTGTATTTCTGAACTAAAAGTGCAGTTAAAAAGTTCAGGATTTGCAATTAGGAAAGGAGAATGATGCTAAGCAATGAATCGTAATAGCAATTCGACTATTTTTTTTTCCCCATTGGAGAACATCTGTGGTTTGAATTGTTTCTGAATTTGGGGAAAATACAATCTGCAGGATTGCTGTAGGAACCATTTAAAAAGCTTTCATCAGCATTTATCATGTTTTGGCCAAAAAAAAAAAAAAAGTCTGCTGTGAAATACTGTTTGTTTTAGCCACAAGTTTATCAACATGCCTTGGCGTAGGATTAAAGGAAGCTGTCATACTAGTGCAGCAGCTCAAAAAAGTATTTTTCCTGCAACAATTCCAGCATTACATTTCTACTCATTAACCCCATCTCCAATAGTGTGTGACTGAGTAAATTGACTTTCTCTGTCAGCTATATTACCACACTCTTCATTTTGAAGCATTGATTTCATTTGGTGCGTTGCTTTTGGCTGTATTTAAAATTCATTTGTGCAGTCTGGTCTGAACTGCGGTCACCTAATTCTTGCTTGAGAAATACTGTCCCATATTTGAATTTCCTGGATGGAGTAGTTCATAACCCCCTGGGTGACCATGAATGCTGGACCACTTGATTTCTTCTTGATCTGCAAACTTCTGTAAAAAAATGATGGCTTTGGCTCGCAGCACAATCCTTTCTAATTTTCCCACTTCGCTCTCTCTGACTTTCCGCTGTACTCATCACTAATACCAAGCCTCTCAGACTAGTTTTGCTTATCAGCTGTATTTCTACTCGCCTGTGCACCTGGCCTGCTACCCTTTCATTTCTTCTATCAGCAAAATATAAAAAAAATAATATATGCCTGTGCTGTAGAGCTGTTGAAGTGAAGGACTAGGATGAAAGGGAGATTTTGCAACGGAGATTGTAAAACACTGAGGTGGCAAGGTAACACCTGTCTGAGAACTCAGCATAAACCCACAGGACTAGTTAATGCACTGTTCACTGAAGAAAACTATTATTCTTGCTTGGTCCACAGATGAAAAGGAGGCCTAGAGTTAAGAGACTAATTGTTCCACTTTCTTTTTTCTTCCCTTCTTCCTCTCTTTCAAGCCCCTCTTTCTTTCCTGCTCCCCAGTGTTTAGTATCTGTAATAGTGTGTGATATTTTCCTGGTTCGGAAGCAGGGAAGGGGCAAAATCAGTCCTCTTGTTTTGCGTGTCTTTTTTTTTTTTTACAGTTATTAAATGTGACTGTTTTTGTGCATTTTTAAAAAAATTCGGTGCTGTATGTCACTCAGTTACTTTCGTGTGAGATGGGCAGTTATACAAATCTGATAAATAAAATAAAAATTGAAAGATTGAACGTTGGAATCAGGGGAAGCCCTGACGCAGGGCAATCTGCAAGATTAT